CCCCGGGCTCCTCGGCTCCAAGCTCAAGAGCCCCCGCTCCCTCAGCCGCTCCTCAGCAGGAGATGCTCCCCAGTGCTCACTGCTCCAAGTGATAGTGCTTGGATGGTGAGGAAACATGGCAAGGCCACTGTCTCACCATGGGTGCTGGATCCACACCTCATCTCTGTGGCTGTGCTGGACTCTTTGAAGCAATTAAATTAAAGGAATTAAAAGATTGTTGACTTCTGAGACACATCGAACACACAAGGCTTACCGGGAACTGATGTGGTTAATGACTGAGGCCCTGTAATCTGATTGCATAGCCAAAATATCTGCAATAATGAAAAGATACTGTTAATGCCAAAATTAGGATTACCAGAGCTGCACAGTTTACGAAGGAAAGCAAACATTTTATATTGACATAGGAAATTATCCTAATAAAACTCAATGGGAGATACTATGGAAAGGGGATGGAATATTTACTTACACGTTTTCTAAGCCAATTTTCTCAATTCCTGTTCATTCCATCTTAGCTTTCATAAACACCCACAGAGGCAGAAGCACCAAGAGATCTGAGGCCAAATGATCTGGCCAGGATCACTTGTGTGGGACTCAAACAACAAGGGACACCAGCTACCGATCTCCTCATCACATTGTGATACCACTTTGTGATGTGCTGCAACACTGCAGTCATTGTCCTCTGGTGAGGACACAGGACCTTCTGCTAACGAGTCCTGTGTCCTGTGGTCTTGTCTTAGCGTGCAAACCTCCTGGTTATGGCATTACCAACACATTCCTCAGTTGTATTGCTAGGAATGGGACAGTATTTTTTGTTATCGGTGCTGGCTGTTCTTTTAGCTCCTGCTTTGGTGTTTTCACACTCATGTTTCCATTCCTATGTCCTTCACAGCAACCAAATCTCTAATAAAAACTACAAATTAATTAAAGTTTGATAGGAGTTCTCCAAAACTGCGATGTCCTTAAACTGACTTTGTCATTTTTCTAAAAACTCTTTTCCAGCTCAGTTAGAACGCATCAACGCGTCATAAAAGTCTACAAAGTGTGTGGGCTGTTAGATTGGAACTCATAGAAGAAAATCATCATCATCATCACCCCCCTTTTTGGATTTAACATATATTTACTCCAGCTTTCACTTCTGTGTTTAGACTTCCAGACCCAAAAGTCCAATTTAACTTTACTACGCAAGTCCCGCTGAAGTATGACACTGTTTTAAACCAATATCCTCTCATAAATCTCAAAAGTGTTTTGAAGGGCTGGTACGGGCTTTTTTTCCTCTAACACTACCATTTCACAATTAAGTCTTTAATTTCCTTGGGTAGATGTCAGGAAGACTCACAAGAGATCCCTTCTTCCCTGGGCTCCTTGCTCTCAGCCTTTTAATCTCTTCTCTAAACACCTTTCCCCGTAGAAGAGTCCTACCTTCTGGGGACGGGGCAGGAATGACCCTCAAGATCTGCTCTATTTGATTCATTGTCGACGTTCCAGGAAAAAGAGGTTTCCCAAGCAGCAGCTCTCCCAGGATACAGCCAATGCTCCACATGTCCACGCCTTTAGTGTAACTACAAAGAAGAACACAACAGAGTTAGGACCGAATCAAGCAAATGTTTTGCTGTATCTGGTATTCACATCATTTACATTAGCTTCTTTTGCTAGATAAATGAGCTTGATGACTCCTTGAATACGAATACTCACAGGTTTTAACTAAGAAGTGGATGAGATTCAGGAATAATGAACCTGGCCAGCATAGAATAGAGATTTATCCTGTTAAAAGTCTATTCTAGGAAACCATAAAAGGAAATAACTTAAAGGTAAATGCCAGGATAAAGCAATAGCTACTTTTCATACGACCAACAGTGACTTTTCAGGGCATGATGTATCTAGAAAGTAGTTCCAATTACTTAAGCAAAGTAAATGTCAAACAACGGGACGGTTCGCGAAACATCCACATCTCAAATTTGGGATACCAACCCAACCTACATTTATTTTCTTCTCTGATCAATAAGACTTTGTATAGTTCAGTAAAAAAACAGGACTAGGCCTGACTGACAGGCAGCTGATGAAACATTTGATTGCAAAGTATTTACCAAAGGTCTACCAAAAATTCATTGATTTTGAAAAGATGTTGCATCTAGCGACATCTAAAATGAAAAAAACTGAAGACTTTTAGACAGTAAGTTTCCTCAGCATCCCACTCCTTTGCTCACATTACCTCCGAGAGGAAAGCAAGATCTCAGGGGCTCGGTACCAGCGCGTTGCCACGTATTCCGTCAGAGCAGGGTTGCTTTGGTCCTCATTTGTCTGACACACAGAACGGGCCAGCCCAAAATCACAAAGCTTAACAAAGCAGTCTGCATCCAGCAAGATATTTGAAGGCTGAATTCAACAAAGGAAAATTTATAAGCTTTTAACTCTCCGAACCACAGGAGATTATCAAGGTTCTTTTACTAGTCTCATTCTTCTCACATTTCTCCATTCAGTGTTTAACAGAAAATTTGGGTGAAGGATAAAGACTGTGACTGAAATAAATATACCTTCTGATCTCTGTGAATAACATTTCCTGAGTGGATGAATTTAGTTGCCTTCAGGAGTTGGTAGAGAATGTAACACTTGTGGATATCTTTCAGCAAATTCCCCTTCTTAATCACAGCATGTAAATCTGTCTCTGTAATATATTACATCAGTAATATGTATATGCATCAGTAAAGGTGCGAATGCAAGTTCCCCAAAGCAAGGCCAGAATACACCACTGTCCAAACTGTAATCTTTCAAGTGCATCCTCAACAGAAGTTAACTCTGCCGTTACTAATAGTACTGCAATCTCTGTATTGTTGATATATATATATTGTTGATATATATATACTGATATATCAATCTCAGCTTGACTTGCAGCTCATGCTAGAGTAACTGTTCTATTACTGTATCATCTTGTTTTAATAAAATTGCACAGCCTCTGCCATATCACAGAATCACAGAACCCCAGAACGTTTGGGATTGGAAGGGACCTCC